TTGGAACACAAGAAATTCAACTACAAGTACAAGAGATGCATCAATTTATCAATCATTTATGGCATTCACTAAAACTACATAGGCAAAACCTTTCTAGTCCTGCGGATAATCTTTTATTCATTCATTCCCAATTGTCTGCTCTTGAAGTATCAAGAGATAATACGATGCATGAAGCAAAATTTGCATCAAGAGATGTTATTAGTGTCTTACAGCTTTATTTTAAACCATTAGACGATTTATCACAAGAATTCACTTGCTATCTTTGGGAATTAACTAGAAATATTTTTACTCTGGCAAGTAACGGTCATGCAAAAACCGTTATTAAAAGTTTGGCTAGAATAATTTGTTTAGAAGAGGAAATGGACGTTCAAACAAATGAGACATGTATTGTCAAATCGTTCAAAAATAACTTTTTTAGCATTTTGAGTAACACCATTTTGGAAAGGTTTGAACTTTTTTTGAGCAAAGTTAAAGACGCCCCATTGACATTATTAGACAATTTAGATTTTATATATAATGATTTAAATTTAGTAAAAGATGAAATTGAACCACAATTCCCTTTGCATTACAATGTAAGGCTTTTCTTCGTGCAGGGATATCATGAACAAGTTTACAACTGGCTGAACGATATTATGCAAACTGACTTGTCTTTGGACGCGGGAACTATTTTTGCCTTGATTCGCTGGGTGCGTCAATACTACCTTAAAATCGTAAGTGATATGAATATATCGCAAGACATACTGGAACCAGAGCTCTTAGACGGCAGGGAGCACGAATTGATTGATTGCTTACTATCAATTATGCGCAGCAAGTTTCAAGAATGGAAAAATAATTTGATTGAAAGTGACATTAAAGAATTTATTGAACGTCTTTATGAATTAGATGCTAATAAAGTGACTGGCCTTTCTGGTACACCTGTGCTGATCAGCATGATTAATCAACAAATAGATTTGGCCATTATGTCTACTCATGAAAAAATTTTAGCTAATGTGGTCAAAGAATGTTGTAAAGTGATGATTGACATACAACAAACTTGGATGATCACATTGGAATCGGAAGTTCGCCTATATATTGAAGAAAAAGGTGAACCACGTCTTTTGGAATATATTATCGCATTGGCCAATGATGAATGCCGTTGTGCCGATCATGTTGAAAATCTTAAGAAACAGTTAGCAC